ATCAAGGATAAGAAAAGTTTATAGTATGAAAAAGGAATGTTAAATAGTAAAAGATAATTTAAGAGTTGAGTAAAAATCTAGAACCCTTTTCCGCCGAAAAAAAATTAAATTCCAGCAAAGGAATTGAGTCTTTGACACAAACTGAAAATTCCAACCCCTATTTATTTTCAATCTGACCATGCTAACCTTTTCAGATTTCAAGCTTTGGGTTGCATGGATAAAGGTGTTAGAAAATCAGAGTTTGTGGCACAGACTCAATTCCTTTCCGGTAGATACTCTGCCCTAGGCAGCAATAAACTAGAATTCAAAACCAAAATTAGTACCCTTAAGTTCATTTTACAGCTAAATATGGGTATTTTTCCAAAAATGTAAGTTTCTCTATTACAGAGTTTAAAAAGTTGACGAAACAATACTTTGCAAATACCCTAATTGCAAAAAGTTGCTGAAAGGACTATCAACAAGAATTACATGATTTTTTTTCTTGTATGTAATTTTTTTAAGGAATTTAGTCTTAATTGTTTTAAACAAAAAAATAATTCAAATGAACATAAAAATAGTTCAAATGGACAAAAAATAGCTCAAATGAACAAAAAATAGTTGAAATGAACAAAAAAAAATAGTTCAAATGATCAAAAAATAGTTGAAAGGAACAGAGAATAGTTCAAATGGAAAAAAAAATAGTTCAAATGTACATAAAAATAGTTCAAATAGACATAAAAAAAAGTTCAAATGAAGATAATAGTTCAAATGGACATACAAATAGTTCAAATGGAAATAAAATTAGTTCAAATGGATAAAAAAATAGTTCATAATGGACATAAAAATAGTTGAAATGAACATAAAAATAGTTCAAATAGACATAAAAATAGAACCAATCAATTCACCAAATTAGTATTGGTCATGTGGCTGCAGCGCTGGGCCCCCTAGCCTGTGATAGCTGTAGTGCTCGACCCAGACATGTGGCCACAGCGCTCGGCCCCCTAGACTGTGCTAGCTGCAGCGCTCAGGCCAGAAATGAGTTTAACCAAACCTAACCCTGAATATACACTAATTTTAGTTTAACCCATCGTGGGAATACAAGCCATGCACAACAATACCGGTTTTTTACTTGACCAGATGTGAGGACTGGACTGCCATGGAAAATACCTCTCAAGAGAGCTTTCAGGGATCACAACTCCCCATTTTGCATATGGGGTGCAGTTATGGGTAAATTCCTTTAATTTCCCTAACTGGGAAACAGCATAAAATGAAGGAACACAGGGAGATATTTCCTATACCCTTCTTCCTACAAACCTCCTTATCCCTCTCCTACCTGCTCCACAACTCGAAGTTAAAAGAACTATTTGGAAAGGCCTTAAAGTGTAAAAACAAGAAACAAGAAGCAAGAAGAAAAAATAAATTGGACAGAAAAAAAGTGGAAGGGAAATCTCTTGACAGTAGAGTATGTAGAACTATAGCTCTAGTTTCTACCAGCTTGAAATTTATAGTTTGCTCTTTTTTTTTAGAGACAAGAGATGTATCTGAGACAACGGGATAATCTATGAATAGAGATGGATTAGGAAAACCCATCAGAAGTATAGGATCAAAGATATAAGCTTCTTACTCCAGGATAGATGTATATTCTCCACTCTTAACTACTCATTCCGGTTATAATCTGGATCATATATCTTTCCAGATTCTCTAAGTATTGAGGTTCTAGTTCCCTTTTTATTAGATCTTGGAAAGTGGTTACTAGCTCTTCATAACTTAGTTTTCCTAGTCTTCTTTGATCCGAGCTGGCAAAGTTGTTCTTTTGAAAGAATTCTCCTGCAGTATCATAATGGTTTTCAGGAGCAATGCAGGGGCCTAAAATCCATTCAAATGTAAGGTGTAGGTGGCTGGACTCTTACCCAACTGTGCATATGTGTTTCCTTCTCGTTCGAAAAGATAAAGAGATGGAAGGCAGTTTAAAATCGGTCTTGGTGGTCAAAATATGCTTCTTTGCAATATGTCGTCTTTGATTAACAAGGATCGCAATGGGGGTTCTCCGGCTCCTAAGTAAAGTAGTCTTGCTTTATATAAGTTTATAGTACTATATTCTGAGACAGTAGGTTTTCTCCTTAGTTTATTTATCACTATTGAAATGTTTAAATATTCAATAATATTTATAATGGATTGAATATCCATTTTTCTGAGTAAAGATTGTTTGTTTAGTATTAAGTTTCACTTTACTATTTGGGTTCAGTAAAATTATTTAAATTAACTTATTTGAGAATTTTACTCAAGACTTATTCAAGAAAAGAGTAGTTAACTACAAGATGGGTGCTTAAAGCAAGATAAGCAAGAAAGTAGAAGAAAACTTTAAACAGGAAAAATTAGAAGGGGATTTGACCTTTACACTATCTATTTTTTTTCACCGATAGCGATTAAAGACAAATACACAGGATGGCAGATGTCCCATCCCCCCCCCCTCTATGTCCTACTTGAGATAGAAAACTGGAAAATGTGTAAAACACACCCCTTACCCCTCTTCCCCTCGATCAAAAAAATTGTATTGCTAGGAATGCAGAAGCTGACACAGTATCATGACTAAAGCAAAATTTAAACACAAACAAGGGGGAGAGTAACCTTGCCACTCTCAATATATAGAATATAGATACAGGGCTTCAAAAAATAGTTCTGCCTCTGCAATTTGGTTAGCTGCAGAAAACATCCAAAAAATCATTTATTTTTATTTTCAAAATAAGCCAAAGATTGGAGGATGGACAAGGAATGGAAGATCAAGAAGAAAGAATGAAAAATAAGAAATATATAAGTCTCAAAATGTTTCCATCTGATATCATATTGAAATTTAAAAATATTGTAAAATTTAATTAAAATAAATTATTAAAGTTAAAAATACACTAATCATATTAAAAATTATTGTTTTATGTTCATTTGAACTATTTTTATGTTCATGTGAACTATTTTTATGTTCATTTGAACTATTATTATGTTCACTTGAACTATTTTTATGTTAATTTGCACTATTTTTATGTTCATTTGAAACATTTCAATGTATATGTTATCCAACTAATTGTCCCTAACACCATAATGATAAAAAAGTAATGTGTTGATTTGAAGTAAAGGATATGACATCATGTTAGTAGATTAAATGAACAATAGTTCAAACGAACAATAGTTCAAACAAACAATAGTTCAAAACGGAAGGAGTTCAAATAAGTATCCACCTTGAAAAACAGCAGACTTAAACCAAATATTCTCAAATTTTTCATGGTAGTTTAAGATAATACAATCAAAATTTCCACAAGAACCAAAAATTCTTTAGTTGGAAAAGTTTCCTGCAGAAATTAAATTTTTTTATAATTTTTTTACTGAATTCAGCATATAAAAAAAAATATAGTTTTAGAATCAAATTATTTCAAATTGTTTTGGGAAAGTTTAAAAATCATTATGTTCTAATGATAAAATAATATAATATTACATAATTATCTGTTCTTAAATCTCCAACCCTAAAAAAACTTTTTTTTTCATTTCTAAACTAAGAATTCAAATTATTTTTAATAATTTCAAAACTCTCTAAAATTCTGAATCATGATAAAAGTTGATAAATGATGCTATCCCATTTGAACTACTCCCGTTCAAACTATTGTTTGTTTGAACTACGGCACGTGGTACCACATGAATAGTTGAAATAAACAATAATTCAAACGAGTTTATTTAATGCTCATTTGAACTATTTTCAGTTCATTTGAATTATTGTTTGAACTAATAATATTATATACGAAATAAACAAAAAACCCTAAAATACTTTTTTTTTCATTTCTAAACTGAAAATTCAAATTATTTTTAGCTTAACACATTAAAAAAAAAGTTTAGTAATCAGCATTCAGATGAAAAAAGTTGCTCTAAATAAGTTGCTCTTGAAAAGTATCTCAGGGAGTGTATGAAACATTTCAAGTTTGAAATAACCATGGTGCATCTAATATACATACATTGTTTAAGATTGTTTTAACTTCTTCTGCCAAATTTTTATTCCACTGGAAAAATTATTTCTACTATTTCTACTTTAAATTCCAGCAAATGTCTTCGCCACAAACTTAAATATTTAAACCCCTATATCTTTTAAACCTAACTTTGTGAATTCCTTATAAAAATTAAAAATTCAAGCCTTTTCCAGTTCAATAAATTCTTGTATGAAAACAGGTAATATTATAATGTTAATACCATACAGGTGAAAATAATTCTTATCTTTCAAGGATATCTTGAAGAACAGCTTTAATTCTGCAATTATTTATCTACTGCCAATATCATACCAGTTAAGTTAAAGCACTTAAGTAAGGTGAATTGCCTGTTTTAATCCTATCTCAACTCTAAGGGTGAACTCATAGAAGGGGGGGGGGGGAGAGGGTGATACTAAAAAATTTCTTACTTTTTTGCAAATTTTTTTTGAATGCATTAAATAATATTTCATTACCCCTTCCCATTTTTTTCTGTTTTAATATTTACAAACTTTTCAAGTCTGTTTTTTCATGATGAAAGTTAGTTTATCCTTTAGCTCTTCTTCAGGTTATCTTGAAACTTTACACTTTTGAAAGAAAATATTGAGATTGGACATGGAGTTAAGTTTTGTCAAAATTCAATTTAAAAAAAATATTTTTCCAAACAACATTATTGTAACATTAAGGATTGGTGGGTTTAAAGTGATTAGAGTTAAAAATGTTATATGTGTCCTTAGTCCAATAAGAAAGACCTGCTCATTGAAAAAAATTAGACCTCTAACTTTAAGGGTTTGAATGCAAAGGGGGATTTGAAAACAATAAAAGATAGAGTAGAAAAATGTTCCAACAATTTTTTATTTTTGACAAATTTTAACAAGTGAGTAAGGGAGGTGTATTATTATATCCATTTTTCAAGGGCTTTGTAAAATGTTTAGCCCTGCAGTTAAATAATAAAAAAGTATTAAACCCTTCCTCATGCATCCCCCAATTTTTTTCTTCAAAATTTGTTCACAATTATAATGAAGTTAAAAAAGTAAAAAAAGTTTACACTCTGTAATCTTTCTTCTTCTTTAAATTAAGAATAAAATAATTGAAAGGATATGAGCTGACTACGGATTCAATCAGAGAAACATCATAGGTGTGTGTGCGTGTCAAAACATGTGAAAAAAGGGGGATATGTTTGATAAAATTAGTAAGCAGTCAGGTCTATCATATCCTTTTAAACTGAATCAATTTTAGACACACCATTATTTTAATTTTTTCAAATTTTTCAACACACACACCTGTGATGTTTCTCTAATTGAATTTATAGTCAGCTCTATCATATCCTTTTAAACTGAATTAATTTTAGACATGCAGCTCATTATTTTAATTTTTAATTATTAGGATATATATTTCTAGATCTCTATTATAGATTTCTGTTATAGGTGGAGGGTTGTGGTTACACTATTCTATCTCAACTCTAAGGGCAAACTCATGGGGAGAAGGGGGGATTGAAAATTTTGTTAATTTTTAGTGTAAACTGTTTTTCACATGTCTATTTTCAAATAGGTGCATCCATCATTCACTTGTGAAATTGGACATGGTTAAGTTTGTCAGAATAGAGCATACCAAATGTCTAGTTTTTATTTTTTTAGTTTAAAATCATTAAAGCATTGAGAAATCAAAATATAAATATTATTTTATTCTACTGTAAGGAATTGGGTGTTTACCAGGAAGGGAAGTCAACCTAGACCTTGAATGCAACTGGTATATGGGTGGAGTCAGATGCCTGGGTTTAGTACAGGACTCACGGGGAATTTTTGTTTACGGATTTTATACTTGAATAGACCAGCTTATTTCCTACTTGTTCCAGGGGTGATCTTCTTTACAATGATATTTTATGCATTTGATAGCTGTATAGTATTTTTATTATATAATAAATAAATACACTTTATTATGCATTGTACTATGTACCAGGGGTAACCTGTATTTAACCTGTGTGCTTAGCTTCAATAAACAGTATAGCAAGAACTTGTATTCTAAATACTCAGAGAGTAGAGACCCTAATAGTGTTTCCATTTGAGTCTATCACATTAGAGTCAGAGGTGTTTTTGGAGTTAATCATCTAAGTTATGAACTGAGTTTTACTCGCTACCAAAGTTTATTAGAGTTGTTCTAGACTAGTGATAGAGGTTCAGATTTTTCTGGTTAGTTAGGCCTCATTGATCCACTTAGGGGACTATTCTTGAGGATAAGGGTAGTGTCTCCCTATACTACAATATGGAAACGTGGGAAAGATAATTTTTGTTCTCAGTGATTTTTATTTCTGTACCTCATTTTTATTTTGAATTTCAAATTACGTACAAGAACAGGAAAGTAGAGTTTGTCTCGAAAAAGTAACAATGATTCAAGACGTATGTCTCCTGCATTTGGCTACAAATTACTACATGGTTAACCATAGGTCATGATTATCCCATCAAAGGTAGATTTTTGATGGATTTTGAATGAACAATTAAAATAAAACTGAAAAAACCTAGATAAACTTTGTTGTAGAAAGTTTGATAATGCATATAAACAACAGCATACAAAGTTGAAAGATCACATTCTTTCTTTATACTTTCTATTATTAATATGAATTATTTTTTAGGAGATGGCAACTCTTAGGACTAAAATAATGTTCTTGTTGGCAGCTATGTTTTTCTATGGATTATTAGTTGTAAGTTTTTTGATTTTCATTTTTTTTCAACTTTAAACTGTTCACCCTCCAGAAGGTGTAATTGGGAGGGATGGGATAAGGGTGGGAGGGGAGGGGAGGCAACTACCATTACTACCCCAACTACCTTCAGATTTTAGAGAGACCCCAAACCCACCCTTGAAGCTGAATCTACATGGCATCTACCCTCACAACTCCAACTAATGCCTGTTTTTGGAGACTCCATCCCCCACCCTTAAAGCTGAATCTTAATGGCAACTACCTTACTACCCCAACTATCCCAACTACCTTCTGTTTTTTAACAGACATCTCCCCCACCCTTGAAGCTGAATCTGAATGGCAACTACCCTCACTACCCCAACTACCTTAGGTTTTTAGAAAGATCCCACCCTGACCCTTGAAGATAAATCTGAATGGCAACTACCCTCAGTAACCCAACTACCTTCAGTTTTCAGAGAGACCCCATCCCCAAAGACGAAGCTAAATCTGAACCTAACCCACCACCCATGAGACTGAATCTGAATGGAAGATACCCTCACTATCCCAACTACCTTTGGTACTAGAGAGACCTCACCCACCACCCTTGAGGCTGAATCTGAATAGTAACTACCCCCAACTACTTTTCGTTTGTAGAGAGTCCCCACCCCCATCCTTGAAGCTGAATCTGAATGGTTACTATCCTCAGTACCCAAACTACCTTCAGTTTTAAAGAGACCCAACCCCCACCCTTGAAGCTGAATCTGAATGTCAACTACCCTCACTTCCCCAACTACCTTCAGTTTAAAGAGAGACCCAGCCCCCACTCTTGAAGCTGAATATGAATGGCAACTACCCTACTACCCCAACTACCTTCAGTTTTTAGAGAGGCCCCATCTCCACTCTTACTATGGGTTTACTCTTTTGTTTCAAAATTAAAACTTGGGTTGGTTTGTTCCTTTTCTTGTTTACAATATGGGTAATGATTCTCTTAAAATCAATGGTTTTAAGCATTCTTAACACTCTCTGACCACAGCTGCTACCCTCACTACCCACCTTCTGAAGGATGTACAGTAGGGGGGAGTGAATTTCAAACTGTCATCCCAGAACTACGGCAATAGTCAATTCTTTTGTAAAAAAACAATTCTAACAACAATTTCTTTTATGACAGTTATTGATTGGAGGTTGTCTTTGTTAGCTAAGTGGCATTGCAAGTTTTGAACTCTATGTCTCTTTTTTGGAGATCTGTGGTTTTGCAATAGGGTTTCCATTGGCAAAACTTTTGCGCAATTTTTGTGGAACGAAATGCAAAATTTTTCTTTCTTTGCACATCAGTTTTTTGCAACAAAAAAAAACAATTTGCGCAATCATTTGCATAAGTCATTTTGCGCAAAATTCCGTTTTTGTGAAACTCAAGTTTTGCGCAATTCTGCAATTAGAGTTTTGCGCAATTTTGTAAAAATCAAAATGTTGGTGATGGTGTGTGTTTCTTAGAATTCAATTCTTCCAGTGCTGGAAGGTTTTGTACCAAAATCCAAAACAGACTGTCCAGTAAAGGTCTCGACAATTTTAGTTTTGGACATGCATATTTCCTAAAAGTGGATTCTTCAGGCATTGGTTACTTTCTTGCATTATTTTATATGAGATTAAAAAGATTTCTGAAATGTGATTTAAAAATTTTAGAATATAATTCATACTTGATTAGGCAAAGCTTTTAAGGGTCACTTAAAATTATTCAATAGGATTAAATTTACCAAGTTTCACACTTTCTAATTTCTATTTTATTAATTTTGGTCACTTAATTTAAACTTTTTGTAACTGGAAGTAACCAATTGAGTGTAGTATAATTGTTATGCATTTTTTTTTAATGTATGGAATAAATCTTCAGTTGTTTAATTCTAAGCTTAGAATATCAATTTTTGACAATTTGCCTAAAAAGTTACATTTTGCGTAAAACTTGCGGTTTTGCGCAAATTGTGCAAAAAAAATTGCACACAATTAAAATTTGGTTTCAGCCCAACTTTCGCAAAAAAAATATTTCCGGTTTTGCGCAAATTGCGCAAAAAAATAGCGCAAAACTCATTGCGTTTCATGCGTAAAAATAGCGCAAAAGTTCGCAAAAAAAAATTGTACGAAAAAAACGCAAATTTTGCGCAAAAGATTTAGCCACTTTGTGGAAACACTATTTCGCAATACACAAGAAATTGCTTGAGATAATTACGGCGATAATTCATTTTTCTTCTAAGAACAAATTATGTTATGTCAGTTTTTGATTGGAGGTCTTCTTCATTAGCTAATGGGCACTGCAATTTTTGATCTTTATATATGCTTTTTCTGAAATCTGTTATTTCACAGTAAGCATACAATATGCTTTAAATTAATACGGTGATATAACATTTAGATAAACGATTGAAATGCCAGTTAGCTAATAAAAAGGACCTCTAATCAAAAAGTGTCATAAAAGAAATTGTTCTTAGAATTCTTTTTTAACATAATAATTGACTATTGCCATAATAATTACAAGCAAATTGTTTTACTTTTGTAGTGCACAGTTTGTAGTTGAAATTTTTTTGAGATTTTATACGTTCACCAACCAACCCCCTCCCTCCCCCCCTCTCTCTAGAATAAGGCCTTAGAGAATAGATATTGGGTTGAAATGCATGTCTATTGCCTAATATTTAAAGGCCAGCCCAAAAACTAGACCAATAATTTAATAGCTTGGGTGCTGGTGATGGTTGAAAAAAATGCTTAAAAAAGGGGTTAAAAAAAATGAAAAGATTTTTTTGTTTTTAATAAATATCAAACTGTGACACATGTTTCTAGATTTATCTTTCAAGGGCTTTTCAAAAATATGATGTTTAGATCTATCCTAGTGACAAGAATACTAGAGGCGAGNCCCAGCTGTTTATGGTTAACTACCTTGATAACCAGAAAACTGCAATTATTCAGTGTAAACAAACCCATTTTACTTATTTAAAAATTTAACAAGTAAAACCATTTGCTTTGTAATAACATAAAGTATTGTTTTAAAGCTGTCTTCCTAATTCAGAGTTTTCTGTATATCACTGTATTTGTCTTTTGTACTGTAAAATGTGGATACTTTCGATCTAATATTTTGTGATTTCTTTTTTTTCAAAAGACTCATTTTTGAACTTTTTTGCAAGCGTCTCAATGCCTTTACAATTTCATGATTCTTTTTCTCCATAAGCCAATCAATGTAAACATTTGTAACTATTCAAGAACAATATTGCATTTAATAAGTAAACAAAAGTTTATGTTCATGTGATGCTATATCGTTTGCACTAATGTTTGATTAAACTAACATAAATTTGCACTAAAGTTAGCTGATCAAAACAGGTTTGCATTATGATTGAACATTACTGCAAATGAACACTAATCAAGCTTTACTGTGTTCAATTGGACTAAAATTTTATTTTACCGCCATGATTTTTTATTTTCCCGCCAGGTATATTCAGTACAAATGATCATTAGTGCAATTGATCTGGAATACTTAAAATATGGTGAAATTTTAGACTTCAGTTCCATTGAACTTTTTTTTGTTCATTTGCACTAAAATATGTTCATTTGTACTAACTTCGTTTTTACCCACACTTTTAGCTTTAGTACATTTGAACATTTGTTCATTCCTACTAAAATTTGTTCAATGTCGAGCTAATTAGTTAAATGAGTCAAATTATGCTAGAATTTAAAAATATAGTCCTCTTGTTCAACAAATCTTCCAGTGAAAAGTTTGACTGATAAATTAAGTGTTCAATCACACTAAAGTGCTAATGAACATTAGTCCCAATGTGTGTTAGTAAAATGTACGTTAGTCCAATCAATCATGTGTGCAAACGATATTTCACTGTTCATGTAATAAAATTTTTGTTTCATACTTCTCAAAAATAAATATTGTTTTTTTTTGTTTCTTTGACCATTGTTAAATACAATGTTTAGTATTTGTTAAAGTCTCCATTTTCCTGAATACACTAATCTTTGTTTTGATCCACTTTTATTTGGCAGATTTTAATAATTTTTAGCTTTTGGAATCAGATTGAAGTTTTGCAAAGACAAAAAGTTTTGTGAAACAGCAATTGACATAGTTTTGAGTATCTCTCCAATTATTATTTTCAACCAACAACATAAGATTGTGCAAAATGTTTTTTTCATTGCAAAATTTGATAACTTTTAATGCTGGTGTTAATGAAAGTGACTTGCCATTTATGCAGCAGAAATAAGAAAGAAAAAGAAATAAACACTTTTCCTTATTTACATCAGATAGAATCGTCAAGTTACAGCTAGACCAGTATAACATTGGATTAGTAAAAGATAATTTTGGACTTAATGTTGGACATTTTTTAATTGATACAAATTTTCAGATTATGATGCTTAAACCCCTGCCACCATTAGGTAAGAAAACCATGATCTATCTTTTTTTTTTTCTTGAATATTTTTCATATTTTCCACTTTTTAAATTTTTTTTAGAATATTTTACAAAAGACATTTGTGGACACTCATGGGTGGCTAGGGGATGTTAATAGCTCAAAAATTCTATTTTTTTTCATCTGAAAGTTAAAATAATGTTTTGTAATTTAAATATTTAAGGATTGGAGAATCAACAATGTGTGAGTAAATGCCAGCAATATTTAGTAGGTAAACCAATGGTCTAAAAGTATAGGACTGTGATAAATCTAATAATAATTTTTGCATTCCATTTATATGCTTAGTGGTTCACTGACTGTATTATTGGTCAGTTTATTTTTACTTCTACCAATAGACCTAAATACAGTTTGTATTATATAGATTCTTTATACAAATGGTTGAGTATTGATTTGTGAAGAATAAGAAAGCTTAAAGTGTGAGATAATTATAGAAACTTGAGGAATTTGGGCATTGTTGGAGGATCAGAAAACATTAAAATTATTTTTATTAAACTTTGGGAGGATTTTTATTTAACATTTTTATTTACTACTTGAAAAGTTTCTTATTTGTTTCGAGGCAAATATAACATTCCTACAGCAAAGAAGGTTTTTTTACATTTCGCACATTTTCATGAAAAATCTCAAATTGTTATCCAACTTGAACTGAAAAAAAACTTTGAAAAGCAAATTTTGTTGTAATTTTCTAATAATTCCGGTAAGATCTTTTTGTTCTGCTCCTCCTTGACCTTGGACCTTGAATACATGGTCATTTTTTAATTAAAATAACAGTCCCTTTAATTCGAACATTTTGTGTGTTTGTTAATAGAACTATTTCTAGCTCTTTCTAAAACAAGATTTAATTACCTAAGACAAATACAATCAATTTTACTAAAATTTCATCTAATTTTATTTTCAAGAAATTGATCGAAAAAAATTCTCGTTTATCTATACTTCCTTGACAATTCATGAAATTATTGCACAGGGATGAATTGTTATGAATTTGAGAGAGGTTTCTGAACTATCTCTAAAGTGCAAGCTGGCTCAAATTTTGGAACACAAATTAAAAGTTTTAATAAAAGATACACAGTTTAGCTATCTTTAGGCTCACAACTTAATTAATTCATTCATTATAATTTATTTTAGACTCAATACCATCTACAAAAACGTTGTGTGGTTTCCATGCTGAATCTAGAGGTGAACAAAATAAACCTTGGTTCAAGTTTTTTCGTGATTTAATTCATAATTCATGACCACCTCCAAGATTTTTTTGAGGATTTATCAATAAAAAATCATTGTTTAGGAGAAAAGCAGAAAATTATTTCCTTCTCTTTCTATGGAGACTTGAAGTCAAAATATTATGATGGTGTTGCAAGCAATCTAGACTATTTAGATGTAAGCTTTTAGTTTTTTTATTATAAATCAAACACACTGTGATCTTGTCAGGCTGCAATCGTTGCTTAAAAAGTGGTGGGTGGACTCTACACTAGGTACCCTGGACTAGACAGTACGACGGACTACATACAGTTTGTGTTGTACTGGTTGTTTTATGTAAAAAATTGATTTTCTATTTTTTATTAAAAATGATTCTAGTCTTTGGTACACACCCTGATATTCTAACCCCTTTATCTTTGCAGCCCAATATCACATTGTGTTTCTGTCATATATAGTTGAATTCCTACTGTTGAAGAAATATGTTGTCAGATAAAAGACGACATTTAAGATTAACTCCTCAAGAGTTATTTAGATTTTTGTTATATAACTCAGATAAATATTTTTCGAAGCAAATATGTTTATAAAATTTACATTGGAATGCAAAGTATCAATATTTACAAGTACTTTATTACACCAATGTTAAATCTTGACTTTGATCAAGTATCATTTAATATACTGAAACATGAGGAGCAATTATCTGGTTCTATATCAATTGGACTAATGGTTGAATGGACTAACTCTCAATTTACTTTAGTAAGCTGGTCACTCACTGAGTTTGTGTTTTAGCCTATAGTATATAAGTCTTAACTATAGGGGCGGATACAGGATTTAAGTGAGAGGGGGCAAGATTTTTTAGGAACAAAAAAATTCATAATTAGGAACAAAAAATCGCGCTTCTGGCGAAATTTTTTTTTTGACTTAAAAGACTCAAAAAGAGTCGAAATAAATGACTAAAGACTAAAAAACTAGATTTTTAACTTTTTCACACAAATAGTTTATTTAGACAGATATTTTTCCTGTTTTGCACTAGGGTTTTTTCCCTTAAGCATGCTATTGAGAAGCCATTTTAAAATAGAAACAAAAATTCCAAATTCAGGGGGGGCTATGCGCCTCCCTGAATCTGTCAGGGGGGGCGAATGTCCCCCCGCCCCCTGTATCCGCCCCTGGTTTTAACTTGCCCGAGTAGAATCTAGGGGTCTGAAATGCAGTCTTAGACGCCGGGCCGACCTCCTCAGACCCTATGTATTTGGGAAAAATATCAAATTTCACCAAATATTTGTAACTTGAGAAATAACCATTAAAAAATTTGAGCATTCCTCTCCCCATCCCTTTCTTCAAGAACCCCTCCATTGTCAGGAGAGGTCTTAAATACAAGACCCTGTTCAGTTTAAGTAGGATATCATATTTCTTCAACATGTGTTATATGTCCCAACCCCAGTTTCTGCTGTTTCCCCACAAGTCTGATAGAAGTCTGCATTATGATCCTGTTCAAAACTCTGTTCAGTTTTATTATGTATAATATTTCGTCAACATGTGTTATTTGATCCCAGTTTAGGCTGTCTTCCCCCCAAGTCTGATAGAAGTCTGTATTATGATCCTGTTCAAGACTATGTTCAGTTTTATTATGGATCATAATTCTTCAACACATGGGTCAGTCTTTTCCCATGCCTCCCTTTTTGTAGCCCAAAATATTTCCCCGCCCACTCAATATGCTGTTTCTTTCATAGGTTCCCCTTTCTGAAGACAAAAATGTTTCCCCCCCCCTCCTCCCTGAATATATGCTGCCACATGGAATAGATTTTCTAAGCTGTGAAATATACACAAACAGCTTCAATTTTAACAAATTTATAAAAGTTATTCAGAAACAATTTAGAGTGGTCTGAGGTTGAAACCATGGGAACAATAGTTGTAAAGGACATTAAGGGCTTTCCATTTTCGTAAAAATTTCAGCCGTCAGACAAGCAGTTGCCGAAAATTTGGCAGTCAAAAAAAAATTTAAAAAGTGATTTTTTCACTTTTTTTACGTTTCATAGTATTTAGAAAATATTTGAAAAAAAAATTTTAACCAAAATTTGTTTGTACTTAAAAAATTTAAGGTGTGTGTAGGGTTTCCATTCGCAAAACTTTTGCGCAATTTTTGCGGAACGAAACGCAATATTTTTCTTTCTTTGCGCATCAATTTTGCGCGAAAAAACAACAATTTGCGCAATCATTCGCAAAAGTCATTTCGCGCAAAATTGCCCTATTCCGCTTTTGCGAAACTCAAGTTTTGCGCAATTCCGCAACAAGAGCTTTGCGCAAATCCGCAATTCCGCAATTTCGTAAAAAT